AATGAAGGTGGTCTATTCTTACAGGAAATTGAATTTATATGCGGATGCATTAGCAAAATTTTGTGTTGAAAGCAGGGAACATTTGATCTTTCGAGAAGAAATTCCGAATTTTATTAAAAATTAATTATTTATGATGTAATAGCAACATTTGTTACTAACCAAAACGGCTGCGTTTTGGGGGACGTACGCGTGACTCGCTCGCCACCCTTGGATGTGTGGAATAAGTCCACTCTCTCAAACGCGTGGACGGAGGAGATTGTTTCTTCCTCGTTTGAATTTTCTGCAAGCTTGAAGAAGCTTCACGCGCATACAGCCATGGCGGACGGAAGTGCACTTTTTCCTGCAAACTTCAAATGACCTTAACTCCCTCAATAATCCACCAAATGCCACGATTCTTGAATGACAATCGCACGAAATTTCGAGAGGAATCCAAATATACCACTTAAACAGTCTAAAATTCCATGAATAAAAAATTCTCCATCTCAACCTAAAACGGATCTAATCCTAAAATGTCACTAATCATCCAATTCTTTGCCCAGAAATCATCTATAACTTAAGGTGAACCTAACCACATGATTCTAATGCACTGAAAACGCATAAATGGAGTGTAATTTCAAGAAATCAAAACCTGAGTTCAAGCTTCAATTGGAGGCGTTTCTGGCTTGATTCTTTCTCTGAAACCTTCCAGATTCAATCGGTGATGATGTTAGAAGATGATTGAAGCTTCAATTGTGCTTGAAATATCCTCAAACAGAAATTCACTCTTTCACTTTTCTTCTTCAAGCTTCAATGGTGATCTTTGCTCTCAGCCCCAATCAATCACCCACCTTGTTTCTGATGAGCTCTTAGACCTTTATAGGATTGTTTAGAACCTTCTAGAGCTCAGGCCCAAGCCCAAAATCAAAAATCCAAATCCAACTTTCCTTCAAAAATTTGATTATGGAAATGTATGAAATTGGCTTCATAGCTTGCATTGGAAGCTTTGGATGACTTGCCTATCTCATTTAGAATGAATTCAGCCCAAAAGGAGTCTCCAAATTGCCTTTGTGAAGGGATTGTGCAATGTAACTTTTATGTGAAGAAATCTTATGAAAGGCCATGAATTGTGCTTCAAATGAAAAATCCATAATTGTCAATGTTTCTAAAACATATTTTCTGATTAAATTGAGTGGTTATTTGACTTGTTTTGGACCCATAATCATTTATTTCAATTTCCCACCAAAAATGCCTTTGAATTTCTTCTTTATTCAAACCACTTCACACCAACCTTTGATATGAGCCAAATCAATTCACCATGAGTTCTTTGTTAGCCTAAAAACCACATTTTAAACAAGTTCCATGTTGAAAAAAAATCCATTTGACAAGTGCAAGTTGGAGATTTTGACCTATGATTGAAAATGGCCTATAATCTCACTTTCCCAAAATACCCTTGACTTGTAAACCTCATAAATTGAGTTCTACAAATCAGATGGAAGATTTATAATAAAATTTGGAAATCTAAGATCATGAGGAACAACTTTCATGTTGGACAAAAGTTCAGTTGAAACCTCTTTCTAGGTCAAAAAGTCAGATGATTTTCACAGACAAATTTCAGATGCCTCTGAGGACTTGTAACTTGTCTGGACCATAACTTGAGTTATATAAATCCAATGGAGGACTTCTGGTACTCAAATTAAATCTAAGAGCATCCTCTACAACATTCATGTGGAGGCCAAAGTCATATGAGACTTGTATCTTGACTTACATAGCTTGGAAGTTTGGCACTAAACAGGGGATTTTACCCTAGGAACCCTGACTTAGCAACTCCAACCACTCTTGATTCTTCTCAACTTGATCTTGAAACAATCTCTCATATGCCTCAACATATCATTTCATGATTTCAATGACCTAGAAGTAGGCTTTGATCTTCTTCAATTACTCATTTTGGCCTAGGATTAACCAGATGAAACCCTAGTGACATCCACTTCAACTGTGGCTCTTGCACTTGATAAAATGACTTGATTGAGCTCCAACATGACCTTCAAGGCACTTCATTGAGCTCTACCCACACATTCTTTTCTTGAACAAGGCCTCACAATCCACTTCTGATCTTCAACTGGCTCCAAGTGAGGAGATGAGCTCCATACAAGCACTCAAACTTCTCAAGGACTCAACCCTCTGTCTGATGATCCTGATAACTTCTTAAGCTTGAATAATATCTCTGGTTAGGCTTCTCTTGACATGTATCACACTTGATCCCCTGTTAAATGAAGTATGTTATGCTATGCAAATGCTAGAACTATGTTATGCTAATGCAATGAAACATAAACCAAGTGATAAAAAGGTTGGGAAAATTTTGGGGTGCAACAACGCTGAAGCACTTTGGCTGCAAGACTCTGATAACATCAAGACTCTGATGTTGATAACTTTGAGACAGAAGCTTGTTGAAGAAAATATTATTCAAAGATATATCAGTTGGCATATTCCAAACGAATCTTTCCTTATTCATGTATGGCACAGGAAATCAGACAAAAGGGATTTGTCTAAACATTTATTTCACAAGCAATTTATTTCACAAGTCTTGTTTTCTTTTCATTTCCCTCTACAATTTTATTTTACCTTTTTTCACTAAGTTATCTCATTTATACGAACACAATCTCTTTATCTACCATTCCAAGCCCAAACACTCAGACACTCAGTCTATACTTAAACACATAATCTAGGAGATCCTGCAAGTAAACTTCAACAAGAGGCTAGAGATTGTTCGCCGGAAATCCAGGCGAACAGAGACACAATGGAAAAGATGAAGTATCATGCAGTTAGTTGGGATATTTTAACGAATCCTAAAGATGAGGGTGGCTTAGGGTTTAAGAAGCTCGAGCAGATGAACAAAGTGTGCTTCATGAAACTAGCCTTGAAGCTGCATAAAAAAGGATAATAATTATGGTGTGAAGTGTTGAAAAATAAATATGGGGTGTCCAGCATTAATGATTACAGAAGTAGAAGTGGCGACTCAAAGTTATGGAAAGACATTATTAGAATAGTGAACCAGGTGCATGATCATGGAATCTGGTGCGTCAGGAATGATTTGTCTATAAATGTATGGTCAGGTTGCTAGATAGAACCGAGGGTTATCATTTAAGATCTTGACGTTGAGATTCTGAGTGAGCTAGAACATACAAAAGTTAGTGATATGGTGATTTATACAGGAGAGTCAGACTGGCACAAACTCAACCATTGGTTATCGAAGGCAAATTTGCAGAAGATTAAATCCATTCTTCCACCCAGATGTGAGTATGGAGAAGACGAGTATCTGTTTGCAGGGATTAATAAATATAGATATTTTGTTAATAACAGTTACGAGAAGCTTGTTAGTCATGATAATTCAAATATAAAAGTTCCGTGGAGGAAGATATGGAGTTTGAAAGTCCAAGAGAGGGTTATTTGGATCCTTGGGCATGATCGTTTATTAACTAATTATAACAAGAGCTTGAGAGGTTTTGGTGGAGCTGATTGTAAAATTTGTGGTGGAGCGAAGGAAATAACCATTCATCCTTTTGGGGATTTCCCTGGAGCCATGCAACTTTGGTTGAACAAGGTTCTTGATAACATTATTTCCATCGAATAACTGAATGATAGATTTAAATCTTAGTAAGAGCAGTAAGTGGGCTAGTTATTGAGTGATTAGTTGTCATAACTTATGGGCGTGGAGGAATAAGGAGATGGACGACGATAATTACAATAGACCTCTTTTCTCAGGATTTCATGTTCAATACAAAATAGATGAATATGATGAAGCTATGAAGAATAACGAGATAATCTCTAGCATAGAAAAGTCTGTTATCATGGTTGGTTTGAAGCCACTCGAGGGAGATTAGGTGAAACTAAATACGAATGGGGCTTGTTTTGTAAGAAGGACATTAGGTTGCAGATATATCATTAGAGGTATGCACGGCGAGTGCAAAGGTGGTTTTTCTAAGTTTATAGGGAAATGTAGTGCAGGAAGGGCGCAAAACTTTGGGGAATCTACAATGGATTATCTCTTGCTATGGATTTCGGATTTTCGAGAGTGAAATTGAACGTGAATTCAATTGTGATTATCTAAATTCTAAATTCAGTAAGGCAACGAATATGAATGGATATTCGTTGGTCAAACAAATCCTGCGTCTCATGAAGATGTATGAAGAAATGAAGGTGGTCCATACTTATAGGGAAATGAATTTATATGCGGATGCATTAGCAAAATTTTGTGTTGAAAGTAGGGAAAATTTGATCTTTCGAGAAGAAATTCCGAATTTTATTAAAAAATTAATTATTTATGATGTAATAGCAACATTTGTTACGAAGTTGGTTTTGTAGTAATTTTTTTTAAGGCTTAGACCCTTTTTAAAATTTTAAAAAAAAGTACTCTAAATAATTTTATTAAAAAATTGATCTAAACTTATATATAATAAATTATACTAATCAGTATCTGTCTTTAAAAAATCTTTATATTTATATCTATTTTTTTGAAAAATATAGTACTACTTATTTTTTCACAAATAATTACTACTCACATATATGACATGCGAGACATGTTATGTTGGGAATTTGGGTAATTTTAGCGTGACACACCTCTTAATGAAAAGGTGTCCTTGTTTCCTCTCCAAATATTCTGAAATTTGAAAATAAAAGACCGCGTCCTCCCCCCTTCTCTCAAAGACAGTCTCAGTTCATAACCGTTTCAGTTTCAAAATTTCAGCAACAACAAACAGGTAAACAATTCTTCCTCATTTCTCAGACACCGTTTTCATTCTCAACAATTCTTCATCATTATTCTAATTCTTACTATAATCTCAACCATTTATTCATAAACGGTTTACCAGATCTGTTTTTTTAAGTTACAGTTTCCATAAATCTTATTTAAGTTTTTAATTTCTTGTTGCATTGTTCAATTTATTAAGGTTAATAAATGCATCTCGCAATAATCAAATCAAATCAAATCAAATCCGTATGTTTGTATTTTAGGGACAAATTAAAGAATGGAGGATACTGTTCGGACAGAACTAGATGAAGTCAAGAAAGAGTTAGAGAAATTTAGGGCAGAATGCCGAGTCAAAACTCAATATATAGAAAATTTGAAGAACGATCGCGATGAGCGATTTCAAGAAATTATGAATCTGGCTGAGAAACGAGCGGGTGAACTCGATCTCAAGTCGGAGGAGATTTATGAACTGAAGAGAATTAACGAGGATCTGAAGTCTAGTTTGAATGAAAAGGAAAAATATATTGTGCATTTTGGTTTAGAGAATCGTAAGATTCAAGAAAGGTTAACTGAGAGGGTTTTGAAATTGGAGGGGAGTAATAGTGAGTTGGTTTCATCTTTGGATGAGGTTAATGCTCGAAACAGTTATTTGGAGCAGAATGTTTCTGCTAGCAGTGAGGAAATTTTGTGCCTCAAGTCGTTGTTATCGGCTACTGAGAAGAAGTATATTGAAGCGGAGGAGAGGGCTATGCGAGCGAAGACGCTGGGATTGAGAGAGGATGTGATAATGCAGTTGCAGGAACAAAATGTTTCTGTGAATGATAAAATGAAATGGAGGAATGAACAGTTTAAGCATCTTGAAGAAGCTCATAAACAGCTTCAAGATAAGTATCGATTGAGCGAGGAGGAGTGGGAAAAGGAGAGGTCTTTGTTGCTTGATGAGTTATCTTCCTTGCAAATCAGTTTGGATTCTCAGACAAGAGCTTTGGAGGGGGTTCAATCTCGTTTGGAGATGTGTAACCATGCGTTGGCTCGCGAAGAAAGCAAGAGGAAGCTCTTGGAGGCTGAGATATCGGATTTCAAAACTAGCCTTGAGGATGTTTATGGTCAGTGTGAAGAAAAGAAGTCTGAGATACAACAATTGACTATTATGAGGGACCATGAGGTAGCCGAGCTAAGAAACTCGTTGGGAGAGAAAGAGGCTCTTGTGAAAGAATTGAAGAGGAAAATCGTTTACCTTGAACAAGATAATCAGGAATTGGGAGATTCGCTTAAAGAATTGAGGGAAGCTCAGATTCGTTACGCGGGAGGGAATTCTATGGCATCAAAGCTTCGCAACAAGCTGAGAAAGTTGGAGGATGTTCATAAAAACTGTTCTTCAACTCTCAAGTCTAGAGAATCCCAATGGAATGATAAGATAACAAAGATGGAGGTTGATATTGTTGGTTATAAATCTACGTTAAACAATAAAGAACAAGAAATTAGGGAGCTTATGATGGAATTGGAAAAATGTTGCTATGCCAATGAAGAGAATCATATTGAACTGTTGATCTTTAAGTCGGTACTTGCTGAGGGTTACTCCAATTCATTCGGTACAGAAACTGATAAAGTGGTCTGTGTTGAAGTGAATGAAGATATGATTCTAAACTTTACCGAGCAACTGAGAGTGAAAGATAATTCTCTAAAATCTCTGGCACAACATCAATTTCTGTTGGAGGAAGAGCTTCAACAGCAGAAGAAGTTGCTCGAGGAATCATCTGCGGGTCAGTTTATATTGAAAGAGCAACTCTTGCAGATGGAAAACACCCTAAAACATGAGAGAAAAGTTGCATTTGAGGCTCTAGAAAGGGTGAAACATGAACTGGCCAGTAAAAATGACAAACTTTCTCGATTAAATTGTGAAGCACAAAACTGGAAATCTACTGCTGAAACTCTTAAAGTTTTGTATGAAGAAATTCAAGGAAGCTGTAAAGAGATGGAAACTTCTATTCAGTCACAGATTGAGAACGAGCAAGCTCTTAAGCAGGAGAACAAAAACCTTCTCTGCATTGTCAAGGATCAGGAGAGGGAAACTGAAGATCTTCACCTGCAGATAGGTTTACTAGAATCCTGCAATGCCGAGAAAACAAAGGAAGTAGAGAGGTGTAAGAAAGAGAAAGATGAACTTGTTAAAACAGTAACAGAGAAGGATTGTTGCATAAAGGATCTTCAGAAAGATATAACCGTTGCGTGCCAGAAGCAAGAGTCCATGAAAAAACAATTAGAAGATGCAGTTCTTGCACATCTAGATGCACAAAAAGCCCTTGCGCAGAAGGAAGATCATCTTTCGAAGTTTCAAACATCATTGAAAGACATGGAGTTAGAAACTAAAAAGTTGACAAAGGAAAAGGAGGAGATAGAACAAATAATTGCAGATATCAAGTTTGAGAAAGGAAATTTGCTTCAAGACATCACAAAATTATCGACAGAAAGGGAAGACATTTTGGCACAAACTGAATACATCTATGACAAACTCGGTGATTTGTTGTCTATCGAGGGTATGCAGTTGACAGAAGAACTAAGAAATATGTTGCATACTTCTATAGCTGATGGAAATGAAACGGCAATGGATTCAGTAGTTTGTGATAAGCTACATGGTTGTGCTCAAGATAGCACAAATAAACAAATTGAAGAAAATTTCGACGCGCGATTGCCATTGAGAGAAGTTAACAGTTTGCATATATAAACCATAGAAGAAAGTCATGCTGTTGCTGAAGCACAAGGTATACAAGTTCAGAAATAAGCAACTCTTCATATTGTCATGTTTAGTTGTCTTTCTTTATATTCCCATTACTGATTTGTGTAAAATATTGTTGTTTTGTTTAGGAATGCAAATGGTTGGTATTTTAGCTAGTTTCGTTCAGTGCTATACTGTTGTTTCCCTTGATAAGTCATATGAGAAATTTCCCTATGGACTATGCTGGTGTTGCTTGTTTCTCAAGCAAGCCGGGAACTTTGAATCTAGGATATTGACACATGTATTCTGTTGTTTCATTGATTGTTTCTCTAATTGACACATTGTTTTAGAGATGTTTGGATTAGTTGAATGCTAAGTCTTGTTCAACAATGTTGGAAAAATTCTCGGATTTTTGGATTAGTTGAATGCTAAGTCCATGCATTCTAGTCTATTCAGTGATTCGGTTCTTTCAAAAATTTCCCAGTGGTTGCTTAATATTTTTTGTTGCTCTATATTAATTTGGTTGGACTGAAAAATTGTATAATTTGGTGAATACACAGTAAAGATAGAAAAAAGACAAATATGTTTGGATTGATGGAATTTATAGCTCAAATTAGACTTGTAAAATGCTTTAAAGTGTTGCATGCTCAATAATTTGTTATTTAATACAGGTTTTACAAAATTTCTTATGAAATTAAAGTTTATATTGTATAAATCATCACTGTATATTTTCATGTAAATTTAAATTTATTTCATATATCGTTGAGAGGTATAAGCATTAGTTTTGTTTATATCCATTAGAAAAAGTTCGTTTATATACAAGGGGTCATAAAGAATTTTACTATGTCAAACTTGTTTAAAAAGTTAGTAAGTATATTTTATACTATGATGATTTGTGATTAGTTGATGAGAATAATTTGACACATTAAACTTGTTAAACCTTATAAAAACTTTTAAGCAATTAGAATCAACTAATCACATAACATCACTTATATCACGTTTAAGTTAGATCTTATGAAAGTTATATAAAAAAAATCACATATAGTTTGATAATTGTGTAAAAGTATCAATTGCAGAGATTTAAATTTGATTTTCCATATTTCTTTTTCATTTTTAAAAAGGTGAAATTTCAACTACTAAATTATGAAAATAAAATATCATCACAGCTAATTGATCAAAACCATTATTGCATGTTCTGTTGTTCATTTTTTATGCTTTGTTTATAGTATTTGTATTTATTGAGTGTTATGTTGTAATTGTTTTTATTAGATATGATGCACCATGATATTTTTTCCAAACAAATTGTATCCCCGAATGTAAAAGATGTTTTAGTGAAAGCGGTAGATGTTGGCAATCAATTTAAAAATGAGTAAGAGTTTGAATTTCACAATCACATGCTTCAATCGATTCGTACAGAGACCCCCAAACTGAGATTTGGTGTGGTATCCAAAGGTCCAATAATGGTTCGGATAGAAGATGTTCATTTGTGACAATGACGTGCGAAAGAAGTGGGAAATATAGATCTCCACTCTAGAATTTTAAACGAGATAACACCGGTTCAAGAAAATGTGAATGTCTTTTTAAGTTTCATGGTTATATATTGACAAATAAGAAATGGAGATTTAGTGTCATATTGTTCGCACACAGTTTTCGCGCGAACAACCTCTGACCTCCTGACGCAAGTTTACTTGCAGGACCGGTCAAACAAGTTTCAGAACTATCTGGTCGAGTATATGCGACGGTGGTAGAATGGTGTTTGTTAGAACAAATTGGAAATAATCTTGAATAAAAAATGCGTATACTTGAATGAAAGACGAATAAAGTAAACGAGAAAAAGCGACAATATATCTTAAAGTTGGTAAAATTGCTTTTAAAAGGAAATGTGGACGCGATCGTACATTTTGCAGGAATGAACTCTTTTCTCTTAATGTTTGGTACTCAGAGTGTTTTTTCCTTACAATGTTACAAAATGCGCCCTTAAAAATGAACATGGGCATTGTCTTAAATAGAAAAGTAAATAACTGCTATGTTGGTTTTGGTGTCGCCACGTGTCCCTCCACCACCTTTGTAACTTCTCACGTTCTCAACTTTTCAAATTTTTTTCCCGCTCAAACATTCTCATGCTTTATGTCGGTTTCCTTTCCTGAGTGGTCATCAGAGCGAGTCGAACGCCTTCTATGGGACGATCTTCATTTAAACGCTACATTGTTGCAGACACGGAGTAACCCAACTGGTGTTCAAATGTGGCGTTGAGCTAATGTTGTAACAGTCACATAGGCCCTAAAACATTCAAGGCTTTGGTGGTCTCATGAATAAGTTTCAATCTCAAGGTCGATAGACCAAGAGAATGATAGAGAGAGGATACTAAAAGCTTACCCAATGATACCTGTCGACCCTCATGTATTTGGATCCTCCTGTTGATATAACATTTGGCTATTTGTAGAGAGCCAGGACAGGAAAGGTAGTATGACAACCACAGAGTGAGGAAGTCGATGTGTTCTTCATTCAACACTTTGGAGGAATCTTTATCGTGATGGTCCTCGATATAGTTCTGGAAACCAGCACGACCAAAGTCGAAAGTGTTGTCTGTTTCTAGAGTAGGATCAAAGGTTTTGCCCAAAGGAGAAAGACCAGTGATGGCCGCCACGTTGAAAAATGTCGGTGTTAACATGCCACAGAGGAAATGGAATGTGTTGATCGACCCCTCCCAGAAATACATCGACGCCAGCAGGAAAAGGTTAACCCTATGAGCCTTCCTGGAGAGTTGAATGGCGTCAAAGATGCCAGTTGTCTTCCATTGCTCTTGACGCTTGCCTTGTACTTTGTTCAGCCAAGAGATGTATTCTTTGTTTCTTGGAGTGGGCATCGACCGAAAAACTAGAGCTTTTGGTGCCATGAACTTGAGGTCGAAGGTGTCACCTTTCTGAAAAGCAGGTGGAATGGTAGGAAGGTAGCAAGGGAAAAACGCTTGGAGTTCTTCATGGCTGGGTTTCATGTTAGGGTATGGTCCATGGAAAGCGTGCAATTTTCCAGCCACCGCAAAAGGTATGATCATCTGTCGTTGCCAGGTCACCATCACCGCGTCATTAACAAACGTCAGATTCAAAAGAGGCCTGAGGGATTCGACTTTAGAGAGAACAAAATCAATGGGGTTGTTTCCGGTGGTGTGAGTAGCGAAAGTGGTTAAGGAAGCCATTGCAAGAGAAGATCAAAAGAACTTTGGGAGCAAAAAGCTGGAAGGAAAGGAAAATGTGAGAGAAGATGGAAAAGAAAACCAAATGTGGGCAAGAACTATTTATAGGCAAGTTGCATGAAGTTGAAAAGGCAAGGGTCTGTTTCGATTCTAGAGTGAGTGGGAGTAGGTTAAAGTCCACAACGTAGGACGCGACTAGGCATGATTAGTTTTCTTGAAAATCGTGGCGCAGAAAGGCGCCATTATAACGTCAGACTATGGGTGACGCATGGCTGACTCGACAGAAGGAAAATGATTGTGTTGCTGGGGCAGAACCAAGGTGCTATCCAAATCTCACAGGAAACCAAAACGCCAAGTTTCTCAGTCGACATAGTGCTTAGTCGAAATTGAGTTTTTGGGGGGCATCTTGTTGCCTGAAAGATTTCGACTGGGAAAAGTTAACATAAGAGCTAATTTGTGGGTCGACAGGTTAGGAAGATGGCGAGGGAAACGATGTAAGTCGACGCCAGTAAAAGGAGGTTGTAAGTCGACTCAAGGCTATTTCGTTGAAGGTGTCGACTGGTGGCCAAGGAAACCAATACAAAGTATGAGAACCATTAAGCGGGAAAAATTTGAAAGTTGAGAACGTGGGGAAGTTACAAAGATGGTGGAGGGACACGTGGCGCCGCCAAGGCCAACATGAAGGAAACATCAGTTATTTTTTTTCCTATTTAAAGCAATGCCCATTTTCATTTAGAGGGGGAGCATTTTACAACATTGTGAATGAAATACACTCTGAGTAACAAGCGTTAAGAGAAAAGAGTTTCACTCCTACAAAATGTATGATAGCTTCCACATCTCCTTTTAAAAGCAATTTACATTACCAAACTTTAAGATATCTTGTCTTTTTACTTGTTTATTTTGTTTGCTTGTTTCTTCAATTGGTGTACATTTTTATTCAAGTTTGTTTCCAATTTATTCTATTCTATCAACGTCGCATAGATTCGACCAATCAGTTATGAGACTTGTTTGGCCGGTCCCGCAAGTAAACCTGCATTAGGAGGCCAGAGGTTGTTCGGGCGAAAACTGCATGCGAACAATATCATAGATATATCTCTGAAACCAGCACTGATACAAATAGAATTTTTGAGGTCCACAATTGTTTACAACTTCTATAAATTAAGGGCTTGTTTTTTACTTCATACAAATAGAAAATGTCTCTAATGTCACAAATAAACATCATCTGGTATGTCATAAATGTCTTCTCCAGCGTGACACCTAGACGAAAGTTTAAGCTCAATGAGTACACCTCTTTTACAGATCTGAAATACGAAGTCCATAATTTCATATCTTACAAAGACGATAAAAAAATTGTCATGTTCGAGTACGGTTCTCTGTCGATTGACAACGAAGAGAAGATTGAGTTCAGCAGCTTTGAGCTCATAACGGATGCAGATGTACGGGCTATGCAGAATGCATTTTTTCATTTTGAAACAAAAGTTCCACTCGAGTTTGAAGCGACTATGTCAAGATTGGTAGAAGATATTGTGAAGATGTTGAATCGTCCACTTGAATATTGAAATGTAATGTTTCATTTTATATTAAAATCACTTATGTAATGCTGATTTTATGTTATGGATGATAATTTTATTTTGTCTAAATACAAGTTTATGATTTCTGCCTCTGATTCAATTGCACATATGATAGGGAAATGAATCTACAAACAGATTTCGGAGATGCATTTTTAGATTAAAAAAAATCCAACTACTAGGACGTCACTCTGAATAGCTTAGGTTATGAGTGTATTGGGCGCGTTCGAAGATACAATTCTAAAAGTTATAAGCATTCTAATATTTTTACGTGGTGTCCTAATAATATATATGGTGTATTAAAAAATACCAAAAATTTAAAGATAAACACATGTGTAAAGCTTGATTTGGAGGGCCCATTAGTTTATTTATTTATTTAATGTATATTAACTTAATGGGTTGTTAGATATTTATTATTTTTAATATACTATAAATTAGACACGGTAATTTAATAGTTTCCATACCATATATATTATATATAAAAACTAATTTTAGAATAATAGAATTCTGATAAAAAAAATTAAACTAATTTAATAGGTATTATCAATAAAATAAAACTAATATACTATAAATTAATGTAATTTGTCTTATCAATAAAAAAAAAATATTTATATGAAATTTGGTTCAATTTATATCAATTTTAAAAAAGAAAATCAAAGTTTCACATGAAAATTCAAAATAACATAAGTATTGATATTTTGTGCAAATTTGCTCCGTTGTATATAAGTGTTTTAAAATGAATGATTTCAATTATATATATATATATATATATATATATATATATATATATATATATATATATATATATATATATATATATATATATATATATATATATATATATATATATATATATATATATATATATATATATATATATATATATTCAATTTAATGTATTCTACTTTACATATATGCTAGTGATGAATAACCGATAGTTGACATTTTAGTAAAACTATTAGGGTTATGAGAGCAAATACTCTAGAAACACTAGTTAAAAATGAGAAAAATAAAAATTTAACAATGAAAACAATTAGTTTTAATCTTTTAAAAAAGTTGAACACAATATTTTTAACACAATTTTTATATTTATTTTTTCTTAACAAGTAGAGATGGCAGCAAAACGAGACGGGAACACGTTTAACTATATCCGCACCCGCACTCGCCTCTAATAACACATCCGTTTCCGTCCCCAAATTTAACTGAGAATAAAAATTTATTGGCCAAACTCGTCTCTAGTGGAGAACGGGTGCACTCGCACCCGCTCTACCCGCACCCGAAAACATTTTTTTTAATTATAATAAAAATTAATAATTTATTTAAAAAATTAATTAGTAAATAAATATTATCCAGTGGAGAACGGTTACACCGGCACCGCACTCACCGGAAAAAATATTTTTTAATTATAATAAAAATTAATAATTTAATTAAAAAATTGAGTATTTTAATAAATTATTTAATTAAAAATTTAATTAGTATATAAATATTAATTTAATTAATTTGATTATTTTAGTTGCTATAAAAATATTAATAATTTAATTAAAAATATAATTAATAAATAAATATTAAAATAAGTAAAATAAAAAAATTAGAGTGAAATGCATTATCCGGAAGCAGGTCTTACTGAAGTGTGAACCGAATTTTTCGAATTTTTTTTTAAGGTAGCAATGTATTAATTTTTATTTACCAAACAAATTAACATTTCAAAAAAAATACCAAAATGGCAATGTTTGGAATTAGGCTAACAGACGTTCGCCAATTGGTTTGGCGAATTAGGCTAACAGCATCACAAGTGATTCGCCATTTGGTTTGGCGAAAGGGAGTATTTTGTGGGATTTCGCCAATTGAATTGGCGAATGAGAGTTATTTTAGGGTTTGTTGTATTTTCAATTTCCTTTTAATTATTATATAACATATTTTCGTTTTCATATTTTAAAATTTAATTGTTTTTTAATTTTAATTTTAATTTACTTTTTTGATTTAAGTTATTATTATTATTAACCATAAAAAATATAAATTTATAATCTAATTAATATTTATATAATTAATATTAATATTAATTTATAATATAATTTTTAATGTCATCTATAATATTAAAAAAATTAAGTTTAAAAGTTTAAATTATTTTATGAAATTATAAATTTAAAGTAAATTGGGTTGCTTGTTAAATCGCCCAGTAGGGTTTTAAACTTTCTTTCCATATATAATTAACTTATTGATTATACAAAAAGATCGAACCTGAGGAAGATCGAACCCAGGCTACCAAGGTGAAATGTGCATTTGATGACAAAGTGATTACCACTGGGGTGGCTATACATCCATTAATGAATGTCACCCCAAAAATATATATGGAAAGTTTAAAACCCTAGCTGGGCGATTTAACAAGCAACCCAATTTACTTTAAATTTATAATTTCATAAAATAATTTAAACTTTTAAACTTAATTTTTTTAATATTATAGATGACATTAAAAATTATATTATAAATTAATATTAATATTAATTATATAAATATTAATTAGATTATAAATTTATATTTTTTATGGTTAATAATAATAATAACTTAAATCAAAAAAGTAAATTAAAATTAAAATTAAAAAACAATTAAATTTTAAAATATGAAAACGAAAATATGTTATATAATAATTAAAAGGAAATTGAAAATGCAACAAACCCTAAAATAACTCTCATTCGCCAATTCAATTGGCGAAATCCCACAAAATACTCCCTTTCGCCAAACCAAATGGCGAATCACTTGTGATGCTGTTAGCCTAATTCGCCAAACCAATTGGCGAACGTCTGTTAGCCTAATTCCAAACATTGCCATTTTGGTATTTTTTTTGAAATGTTAATTTGTTTGGTAAATAAAAATTAATACATTACTACTTTAAAAAAAAATTCGAATTTTTCCCACACTCTATTAAATATTTGTTTGCCATCCCTATTAACAAGTGCTTTAAAGGTTATATGGTAGATTGGTAGATTCAGAATAGACACGTTACATAGCTTGGATTATTAGACACAAAAAATTGATTCAAAAAACTACTTTAATGGTGTCAACAAGTGGAACCCTTGATCAAAGTTCACAAACATCACCATTTAATGTTAACTCCTCAAATACCAATGAAATTTATCTTTTGGTGTGTCCTTAACCATAACCAAAGAATCACAAGGCTCCTGTTCTTCTACCAAAGAGATGAAACTTGGTCACAAAGCAACAAATGGTGCCTATTAACTCACCTACACCTCAAATACGATTGACACTGATACAACGACATCGATAATAATTAAAAAATAATAATAAATTAAACATAATCACAACTGTAAGTGTCAGTGTCCGATACCAACACAGATACAAACACGTATTTTTTTCAAAGATGTCAGTACTAGTGCTATTATAAGGAGAAAGAATTGACAAAAAATACATAAATTGAACTGATTTGAAATGAGTAAAGGAACAAAGAACAACTAATTACAAAATTACATAAATATTTCCTTACTTATTTTGTGTTCGAAATTGTTGCTATAATGTTAAAGACTGCAAATGATTGATTCTGAAATATCAAGTTGAATTAATATCATCCCAAAGACAAGACACAAAGTAACATTAATGCCGAGTACAACAACATCATACACGACAAAGATAACATATTTGGCCGTCATAATGTTACATGAAAAAACGAAGGCAGTGCCTTCAAAGCTACCTAGCTTTTGTATTGGTTGAGTAATTTGATTTAGACTATCATTCAAGTAATAACAATAACAACATACATTCAAATTCATCAAGATTTCAAATAAAATCGAGAGAAAGTTTTTACTTGGACGTTGAATTTGAAGGGGCGGGGTTGGAAGAATCTGGCTTTTTAGAATAGTTGGAAATCCATTTCTGCTTGTTCTTCTGTGATGTATTCCAGTTTCGTGAAAACTGTGTAAGACCTTGAGACAGGGCCCCGAGATTTACTCCATTATCAACCAAAATGCTAGTCACTCCCATTTTAGAGACCTGTAATATTATGAACAAATGATGTAGCAGTAGTAAAAGATGGAAAAATGAAGGGAAAAACACTCTATTAATATGACTGTATTTGGATTTTGGATTCATGATGAACTTGACAAAATCATGTTCGCATGGTGTTATTGGTTCTGCTACGAAAAAAATGATTTTGAACTTAAAATAAGTTGAAAACAAGTGCTTTTATATTTGGGTACATTAATATATAAGCGTTTTAAACAATGTAATCAATGGCAGAGGAAAATGCTCCCAATTTTAAATCAAAGGCAAAATAAAATTTTTAAGTGTGTGTTTGATTAAGCAATGACAAGTTGCTTTTGAATAAATTGATTATGTAAATTAATTATAACTAAAAGTGAATTGAAGATAAAGTAATTTACAATTTGATACATTAAGTAAAAATGAGGTGAATAATAAAAATGAGTCTAAAAATCAAGCAAAAGCTTCAAAATCTTTGGTTTAGGTTTTGAAAAGCCAAAAGCAAATTTGGAGGTGTATAATTGATTTTGGAGTGATTTTGAGGTGTTTGGTTCTTCTAAAATAGAATTGATTATGCATCTAAATTGATTTTACTTAAGCTAGACTTCGTAGCTTTTGGAGCGTTTGAGCTTAAAGGTGATTTTTACACTGAAATTTACTTTTGAACTCTCTTCTACTTAAATTTATCCAAACATAAATCACTTCACATTCAACTCTCTTTTAGTTAGAATCAATTTTACAGAATCAATTAATTCAAAATCAATTCCATTTACTGCAAAACCAAACACACTAGCTATGTTGAAATCAATTCTAGTCAAGAGAAACCAAACATCCAAAAATAATTTTGACTACTCCAAAACTATAACCAAACAAACACTAAATTGTAGTTTTGCTCAAAATCACAATGCTTCTGTCAAATTCAGTATGATTATTATAAACTATTATTATTACCGCTTGGATGTTCCTATTCTCATCATCAAAAAACAGCATGTCACGAAAGGAAATTCCAGTAGTCGAATGAATTCTCTGAAAATGATCCGTTTTATGACTCCAACTAGAATAAATTTCCTGAACAAAACCGCAAATTAGGTCAACAAAGCACTAACAACCAAACTTCAAAGAAAAAATTAGGTCAAAAATACAACACCTGAGCAACAAAGAATGAGGTGATTCCCAATTTGTTGAGAAAAGCCTTGGCAATATCTGCGGTTGGCGATCGAGAAGCGATTGCAATATCGAGTCCTTTGTGTTTGAGAGCGAACAAGATTCCGATGGCGTGAGGATAGAGAGAAGGCGTTTCGCGCTTGGATCGACACTCGCAGTAGAATGGCCAGAGAGTGTAATCGAGATCGAAAACAACTAGTTTCGGTAAAACTTGGAATGATTCGATTATCTTTACGGCTTCGTCTTTCATCTTCTCTGAAGATTCTCCCATTTCTTCCTCTCGCTCACCAAAGATTTTTTTGAATGAGCGATACCAATTTTACGGGGAGAAAAGCGAAACTTCATATTTAAAATTGTTTCAAATATCTTATAAACCCAACCAACAGGTTGGTTGGTCTACTTTTGATAAATATAAATAATATAATACTAGATTTTTAGTTTGTGATATTGAATTATTTATTTACTCCCTTTCGCATAAATTGTTTTTATTATATCACATAAATTAAGAAATTTAATTAATATTTTTTTATGGAGAAAAGAAATTACATGCTTTCTCTGTTTTCTGAATGTTATTTTTTGATATTTTTCTTTTCTTTTTAATTGTTATTTTTAAATTTTAAGATAGTATTAAATGCATTTTTGTCAAAATTATTTATAAATAATTATTAAAAAAAGAAAAAAGAAAATAAATTTAATAAATAATTAAAGGTAATATAAGTAAATGAGAATTATTATATGAAAAATAATTGATTAACTTTTTTGATATGTGTAAAAAAAAATCAAAAAGTCCACTTTAAAAAGAATAGAGGGAGTCTCACTTTAGACTATTGTCTTTAGTTATTATAAATGAAAGAGAAACTTAAAGAATTGAAAGAAGAAAAAGGGTATATTGGAAAAAAATGTCATTAATGATGCATTGAAATTGTAAAATGATTTAAAATTTGAGATAATTTTTTTACAAAGTAACTTATAATTTGGAATAGAAAGAGTGTTAATCATCATATATAAAAATTGAAATTTTATAAATTGAGAAAATCGAAGACACACTAAAATGTGTAGAATATTAAATAACTTTGCAACGTCATTCAATAAACAATGTGTTTCCTATCAAATAAACGATTTTGAAGCTACTTGACACTGTTTGCCTATTATGCACACGCCATTTCAACGAAACGTCAATATAATTATGGCAAAATACTTTTTTTTGTCCCTTAACTATATCTTTAGGTTCAAATTGATCCCTTAATTATTGTTTATGTCATATTGGTCCTTTTTGTCTAATTAGCAACGAATTTAGCGACGAATTTTTAAATTTTTCCGTCGCTAATTAGACGAAAAGGACTAACATGACACACTTTAAAGAGTTAAGAGACCAATCTGACACAAAAAATAATTAAGGGACCAATCTGAACCTAAGGGTATAATTAAGGGACCAAAAAGGATATTTTGTCTATAATTAGTTATTATTGTGGTCATTATGATCACTTTACACTAAAACGTTATGTCACAGACGTCCGTGCAATCTATCATTACCGCCTTATATTTTCTAGGAGCTTTAAATAAAAATAAAATCATTAATATACTCCATGACCTTTATAGTGTCAACTATCGACTCAAGCATGCCACATGGCTAAAGTCATTTGGAAGGAAAAACTGAACCTTTTTTTCTTTGGGTATTTAACGTGTTACCTCCAACACTTTCTTCTCACTTCCATCTCTTTTGAAACTCAAGCGCAAAAGAAACCTCTAGAAATCTCAGTTTTCCTTCTTCTTCTCTAAGTTCTCCAAACAAAACTTCATTCACCACAATGGCACTTCAAACTCAATCCCGCCCACCTTTCGATGCCGAGATTGACTTACCCCTGTATGTCAATGATCATACCTATATTCTTGAACCACCTATAGAGGATGGAATACCACTCTTCCTTCATTCCCTACACTCTCGGTGGTTCAGTGCATGCATCCATGGGTCCACTATTAAAGTGTGTAAAAAAACCTCACATGGTGAAAGACTTCTTTATAACTTATCCTAATTACGAACCTTTAGTGTTCGTTGACAAACAATTCAACTTTAATTTCTTCAAGACCCGAGTTTTTCAATCTTTTCCTCCAATTGAGGATGCTAAATATATCAAATTATTGACAGGGTTGAAGAGAAGAAGAAACATTTTTGGAGGGATTTAGGAATTTTTTGACCTAATCCAGCTGTCAAGAGTGGGTCCTCCTATAACTCTCACATGCTCATCTCTTCCATGTGCTTCTGGGACACGTCAACTAATGCGTTCCATTTACCTTGTGGGATGATAACTCCACCCTTTTAGACATTGCTGCCATAGTTGGCCTTCAAGAAGAACAAAAACAAATTCTACTTTCACCTTCATTGAGGATCATTGAAGTTTAACAAATCGAGTGATTGATCAGGAACATATCTCTTTCCTGACTTACTGGCTATCCAAGTATATCTTTTACGCTCAATTTGTTCAAGTAGAAAAGAAGTTCGTTCCTTTCTCCATGAAGGGAGGAAAATTTGCCCGAGTAGGTTGATTCTCTTTGGCCTCTATAAAATATTGGGGTTGATATATGAATGTCTGAAGGAGATGGAAAACACCGACAACCTTCAGATAGGTGTCCCTATCTGGTCCTTACAAATGTGGCTTTATACCACCTTCGAACCCTCTTTTAAAACTAGAGTTCCTTCTAACCCAGAAGTATGAGTCGAAGGTCTTAGCCTAGCTAAGCTTACTCCTGATGATGGGAAGGTTGTCTCTTTGGAGATCTTTGAAAATTATTTCTAACTCTTTTATAGATGCAAGACCTTAACTTTGACTATGGCACCATTTTCCAGTCGACAATGTGGTCTTGACTGGTTTAGGAAACTCTTTCCCAACCATCCCGACAAAAGGAAAACGACATACATGACACCTTATAGTTGTCTGCTTTAACCTCACTGCTCTTTGGTCGGGGCTTACTTCTGCTAAGACAGGCTTGAGGACGACTCCTTACTGTCATACCCCAAATTTTACCCTCAAATTCTTTGATCTGTTGCATATCATTTTAGGTCATCATCTTGCGTGGTACCTAATTTATCAGCTGAAATGAACTTATTGGAATTACATTCGAATCGGTCACATTTTAGACAGTTTAAACCATTTCAACGGATAAGATTTATTTCGAAATCGGACGAAGCGTTGTATGTTTCCGAGTGGTTTATTCCGGACTGATGATTTTGGTGCAGCCGTTTTTCTTTTTCGAGAACTTCGGTACCCGACTTTTTTATTCGTTTTTTATTTCATTATTGTAATTTATTAATTTAGAATTAATTTTATTTTGTTAACTTTTATTTTATTTTTTTGTTATTTATCTATTTCCTAGTTTTGTTAATTAAGTTAATTTATCTAGATATTTGAATTATATTTCTTTCCTTATCATTTTGTATTGCTTATTTAATTAATTTAAGATTAATTTAATTTTGTATAGTCTTTTATTTAATTAATTAATTTGTTTAGATAATTAAAATTTTAGTTGATTTTAGTTATTTTATATTTTATTTCTCTTTTTAAAAAATTATAGTTGAGATAATCCTTATTGTAATTATTCTTTATTAGAAAAATTTTCATTTAGTCAATTAATTATTTACCTAGTTTTTAATTTAATTAGAGTTTAAATTTTTATTTATTTCTTTTAATTAATTTAATTATTTTAATTAATTTGCTTTTTTTTTCAAATAAAAGTTCGTTTATTGACCAAGTCCTCACACCAATTTTAAAACCTTTGATCCAAAAGAAAACAAACCCTTCACTACAAGCCAAGATCCTACACAATCGTATCATTAGAAAATAAATTGCAAAAGAGCAAAAAAGGCATTTTCACAACTTTGCCCCAAAACAAGCCTTCTGCTACCCGTACTACACAAGCCAAAATACTCCAAATTTCCTACTACACACCCTACATCAAAAACCTACTTCACAAAAACCATATGCTACACCAACCTAATTTCTACCATCCTGCAAAAACCATACACAGCCCGCTACAATTCTGCATCATAACAACCACAACTATACTTCCAAACAAACCTAACCTGCATCAACATAGAACTTGCAGTGAAGTTATAGACTGTGCCTCCTGTGTAACATTACAATCCAAAATTTTGGCACTCCCTACGATGCAAGCGACAACAACAACACTATGTCATAACTAGCATAACCTGTACTGAAAGTGACTCACCAACAACAAAAATATTTGTGCCATAAAGACTTCATGAGCAAGTTTTATTTATAACAATAAGAGAAGGAGGGACCATAAGAAAAAAACATCAGGGCAAGGAATCCTGGAACATTATCTACAAGAAAATCAATAAACAACATGCATTATTTTCCTCCCGAATTCTTCACCAATCAGTCTCCCTCCGTTTTAAACCTCACTCTCCCTCAACACCCCTATTCCCGTTCCATTCCTAACCTTCATTTTCCATGTCGTTATTGCAACAAAAATTACCTTGTTCCTTCGACAACCTTCACTACCTTTCTAAAAAATCAGAACAACAAAAAAAAACTCACAAAATCCAAATTGAAAACCACCATTTAACATCATCACCTTTAACTTCCTCCACCAAACACAAATCCAACTTCGAGTTACTCCTTACAAATCCCTCAGTCTACAGAAAATACACCGCCACCACCATAAATTTATAATCAATCTTCTTCCACCATTTTCGACCCAAAACCACAACTCCTTCGGTTCCCCTTTTTTCTTCAACGACCACAAATTGAAACAAACCCAATTCACATCAATGAGGAATTTCGAGAAGAACAAAAGAGTAGAAAGGGAAGGTGTAATATAACATCCTTTTCTACCCCACAATTATCATGGCGAAATTACATAGATATCCGAGTAAAATTATTAAATTTCATAAAAGCCATCAAAAGGGCGTACATTTCCTAAATCAACAAAATCGGTCAAGGCTCCGTAAACAACGAGCTTTCTCAAAATAATCAATTCACACAAAGCAGCGAAACTCAAAGGCAGAAATCAAGGTTTCCTCATAAAGGAAAAATGAGCAAAATAACTCAACAGTATATAGTTTAACTCAAAAGAACCCAACCCGATGTTACATATCAAAGCAAGACCCTCTAAGCTAACCAGAAGGCTAAAAACTCAAAACTTCAAAAATACTCCTCGACAGCGTCCACGGCTAAACTTGGTCATCTGCATGTTACCCACGTGGAGGTATCATTCAAACAGGCAGGGTGAGTAAAACAGTTCATAATAACC